TTTGGTGTTGTGTTTGACGTTGCCATAAAAGCGGGAGGTTTGGCATGCCACAAAACCAGGTTCAACCCACCATTTTTTTCTTAAAATGTCCTGTACCAAGTCAGGAAAATGGCCATTGTTATATTATAGTTCGTTTCTGTGTGTGTTACATTTTAATGTTGTGTTTTTGTTGTGCCGTTGTTCTCCTCTTATATTTGATGCGTTTCCCTCAGTTTAAGTTTGTAACCCGGATTTGTTTTTATCTCTATCGATTTATGAGTTTCGAACAGCGGTATACTACTGTTGCCTTTATTGATAACGGAAAAATATCGGCGAATTAGAGTACGGATAGACAAAAGTTCAAAACAGTACATTTCTGCAGATTTTGATCAGATAAAGTATTTTCTTTTACAAGAAAGTCCACTTACACTTGTTTTATAGTGAAACTTAGCCATACAAGTATTTAAAACATATTTAACTTTTTTCTAGATTTAAAGTATCGTATGACTTTAATATTTGTGTGTAAATTGTACTGTTAAAATGATACAATAACATTATGTTATGAGCTTGTAATTATTATGATTATTTATCTTGGCCTAATTTGTTTTGTGTGGCCTTATAAGATGTTTACATAATTGGGTAGTGGCCTATTTATAGTTGTTTACAAAATAATGTTATTGTGCTGTTTAGAAATCACTGGAACAATCGTAGTTACTGATGGAATGATTAAATCTTTCTATTTGACTTGCATAATAATTCTAGAATGATCATAATCTACGATGCGTAGTTTAAACTTCAAAAGTTTTCCAGAAGTTTATCTTCTACAGTTTTCTAGAAGTTTCTGTTGTAACTATATATACAGACGCTGAATTGTACTAATATTCAGAAATATAGAAATAATCTCAGAAGACCTCTGAAGTTTTTGGATTGACACTTTTATTTACGTTAACAACATCATATTACTTTGTGAACTTATTGGACATATAAATATTCAGTTGGATTCTGTTACAGTTAAGAGAAGAATTCCAGATTAAGAAAAGACTATAGGATCAGACATTCAGATATTAACAGTTAAGTTGACATTTCTATGTGTATAATATTTCTTGTAAAATTGAATAATAAATCTTGTTAAATTTATTATTGATTTTTGTCTTTTACTTACTACAATTTAAAGGTGATTTCTGACCGTAAAAATTACAAATATGTTAATACAGTAAAAATATCATACTGAATAACATACATGTACAATTATAAATATTTTTTCAGAACATACGTAGAAAGATGTAAAATTATAGGGTTTAAATTCAATTCTAAAGATGGTTTGAAATTCAGATCATTATTTAGATTTGAGTGTTTGGAATGAAATTAATACGACATTGTTTGGTTTCTTCATAAGACCTTAATATATTAGTATATTTATCAAAGAGTGATTTCTCAATTAAGAGAATGGACATTTTTATTAGTCAAAACAATATTTTTTATTTTTTTTTAAGTTTGAATTGTCACGTGAATGTTACATATCAAATGACAAAAGAAATCTGCAAAAAAAACATTACAGAGTAACTCTTGAGTTGATTTTCTGTAACGCATTTGGTTTCAAAAATTAGTTTTTTGACCATAAATGAACCTGTTCAATAGAGCCGATGGTTGTTCTCTCTCAAAAACAAAACAGAACACGAAACAAAACAATAGCACTAATGCTTTCTTGGTGTAACTTTGTCTTGATATCATCAACTGTCATGGCACTGATGTAGAACACTATGAAAGTCAATGTGAGCAAGATAGAGAAGTACTTTTTGATAACAGTCTTTGACAAACGAGACATCCACATACATAAATTAATCGACATCTTCATAAACATGTGCATTGCTCATCGTGTTGGTAGATGTTTCATCACTTTCTTTGTCTTCATTTTCCGAGTGGTTGTCAATTACTTCAAGATACCCAGGTATCGCGTCATCATATATGTGAACAACAGGTTCCGATGACGGTGCTGAATGGTATCTGAAATTATTATGAATAAAAGTTAAACACTGGTTTATTGAAATGTAGTATACATACATGTATAGTTTAGATAATATAACACACTGGTCATTGTGGATAGTTGAAGCTGGCTTGATGTTCTCTATACTAATGATCGATCCTAAACGTAAACATAATATTCTCTTGTTTGCGGGTGTTCTTGCCTCAACTAATTTAACTAACCTTATTTTCTGGAAATGGATTCACATTTTTGTAAAAACGTATGGAAGTACTTCTGTTTTGAACCACCTGTGTTTCTAAAATTTACTGCGTCAGGTAATCGTAAGTTTTAAAATCCAAACATGTAAAACATTGCACAGCACAAAGACCAAACCAAGATCCTAGGTAGAAAAACAAATCCCGTAAAATGATCTTTGCCTTAGGGCTTTGCTTTCATAGTTTCAGTTGAATTATACAAAATGCTAAGGATTTTCTTCCCCAAGGGACAGATTGCCTTAAAGGTTTTTGGCACAGTTTTTTGAAATTTCTGGTTTTACAAGCTCTTTTACTTCGTATTTTATTTCGCATTTCAACTGTTTTGATTCGAGCGCCACTGATTAGTCTTATGAAGACAAAACGCGCGTCTGGCGTACCAGATTGTAAGCTTGGTATATTTTATGAGTCTTAGCAAAATAAGATAATTTTATGAACTGTTTTATACAAATAAACAATTTTAATCATGCAGAAAGCGAAGCATTATATGTTATATAAACATGATAAAACTAGTATATCACATTCATATCAGTTAAGTTCTTCACTTCTCCATGCAAAGCAAGAAAAGGAAGGGAACTTAAGAGGTAACCCATAGATCAGTTTGATCAGTTCTCACTTCACTACAATCTACAGGCAATTTCAATAGAACTTTTTGTGTCAGTGTTGTAGTATTTTATGTCTATTTTTTCACATTGAAGATATGTTTATATATGTGATCTGTCTCCTTACACACCTATAATATAATATCTCTACGTTTTACGAATTTTCGTTAGAATCAAACGATTTTATCCCCACACTTCTCATTATATTATAATGTAGTTTATTCCTCAATATAGACACTGAAAGTTCAGAGAGAGCAAATATTGTTTTAGTTAAAGTGTTGTATCTCCACTGTAATTCGGATTGTAAAGCAATCAATTATATTTAAAAATATATTTGTAATACTCTGCTTAAATTTTGTCCATGATTCAAACTCAGTACATGAGTAATTCTCAGCAAATGATGCATACCGATGTCGAAATCTCATAAATTGTTTAAGAAGACTAACCAAGTTGACAAAACAAAAAACCAACAGAATCACCATAATTTCTAAAGAAACAAGACAGATCGCGTCGAATGAGTAGTCGTCTCCTTCTATGCATGCATCTTATTCACCACCCAATATGCAAATCAACACTCCGAAAATTGGCACAATAGTTAATTTGGCACAAATTAACAGATTTGATGACTATTTTGATATATAAAGATCTAAGACTGCGAACACATTTCGCTAGTGAGTTGAGACATAGACATATCGTATCGGTTAACAATTCATGATGGTGACAGTAAATATTCTGTATTGTTGAGTTCAGTCTTTCTTCCTTTGTCGGTGCAGTGTTTGTGTATAAGCACTACCCTGCTTCCAAAGACAGTTTAGTGTAGACATAAACGAGTTTAACGTATTATCTGAGATATATAAACGCCATACGATGAGGCTGAGGCAATGTTATTGCTAAGAAATTGAAATCTGTCAGTTGGAAAGTTGATATCATAGAATCTAGCTATTTAATTTGCAGTATATGTATCATAAAAACTCATCAAAGATAGCAGGCTTATAATTCTGTGCTTGTGCATTTTGTCTGTAAAAGACTCATCAGTATCGAGGAAAATATCAAGATAAGGAGCAGATCTTTAACGTTACGATTTTATCCTTACTCTCAAGTTCACCATGACAGTTTATTCTGACAGTTCTGAAGACAATGTAGAACAGGTTCCAAATGAAAGTCATTCATTGAAGGCCATTTCTTATGCGATTAACAAACGTTTGTTGGAAAATTATTTATCTTAGGTGTTTCAGATAAATTTGAAATTAATGTGACGAAAGACATAAAAAGCCTTTCGTTAGCTACCAGAAGAACATTGGTTTATTCTTTAAGGTAACTTACATTGGAATTCTAGACAGTTCATGGGGACCAACTATATGTACTATATCTGAAATGATCAGTAAATTGTAAATTTGTAACAGAAAATATAAAAATGAAAAGCGTTCAAATAATGTTTAAATGCAAGTGCTCTATATTAACATATTTGTGTTAAATCAGTTTTAATGGTTTCATGATTTCCATTCTTAATATACTGCTTTTTGTGTGAAATCTATTCGTAATTAGACTGTTATTTAACAAAAGTTCGACGATACCACGCAGAAATTTAAACATGTTAAATTATACTGACTTTTGCGTTACATGTATATCGAGCAAACATTTCTCACAAAGCGGCTAAATAATGCACGTTTCTCGAAACTTCTTATCAATGAAAAAATAAAAAGACGAAATTGGTGGGAGCAGTTCAAACTAATTTTGGAAATGAGAATCAAGGAGTCCCAAGTACACATAATTCTTCTAGTTAAGAAAAGCCGAGATTGACCTATAATTGTAAACACTTCCATGAAAGAAAAGAGCGAGTCTCTGGATTCTTCCTGAAAGAATCCACTTCAAATTGTAATTTACAATTAAATATTGTATTACAAAACGACAAATTGCTTTAAGATCAGGTGACAGTTACTTTTAGTAAAGGGCTAGCTAGGAACACCTTTGGTTTTGCCACTTGTAACATTTAGAAATCATTTTGTTTTTACTATTCAAGTGTGGTTGAGTGTATATGATTGTATATATAACTTGAAAACTTGAGAGAAGATGTAGGCTGTTAATTTTGCAAATACCATCACAACGGTCATATAATAACGGAAATAACATACATTCCACTTTTTGTCAGATTTGTTTCTTTTTTTCAAATTCTACTGCTAACAATTACTTACTAGAACCTCTTTCTTTCATCAGAATTACCGTAACTGTTATAATTAATATGAATATCCCTACAACTGTAATGGCAATTATGACAGATCGGAAGTCAAACGTAGTTGTCAAACCTAAATTAGAAAGATAAATCACTTTATAGCTAAAATTATTTTAGTGAGATGGAACTACAAGTATTTATGTTTTTGAAAAACATTTTTGAGGTTTGAGGTGAAAAAAGCAACATAATCTTCCCAATGTTTATGTTAGCAAAATGACGTACCGTTTATGATATTATGACTATATGGATTTGGATACTTATATGTTTTGTTAATATTTCACTCCTTCATGACTTGCTTTTTTTAATTGTAATGTGTGTATTGTTATAGTCGTATGTTTGTTCTATGTGGATGTGTTAAATAAAGGCAATAGTAGTATACCGCTGTTCAATAGTCATAATTCGATTTAACTGAAACTAATCCAGGGCCTGCATGTTAAACTTAACATAAAAGTATTGTCTTATAGTGATATGTTTTTGAATGTGTACATATGGTGTTAAATTCAAATATTGTGTAACTAAAAATTGTGTTTATTATAATTTATTACATACAGTTTTATAATTTAAAATGTTTGCTGTTAATTGCTAATTCATGTTATCGTGGTATTGCCCTCTGAGAATATGCTTCAATCCAATTTCAAAACTGCTAGGTATTTATTTGAAAAGTACATACCTGGATTACATGTATATATGTTTAGATTAAACAAGTTATGGGAATATTTTTGTGTCTTTGAATTAACAGCTCATGCTGTGAATTTTAATCATTCATAAATTGTATTCTTTTGCTCAAAACAATATTTTTATAGATGATTTGAAAAATAATTGTGTGATTTTTTTTTGTAAAATTAAAAGAATGTTTAACTAAAAAGATTCCTAGAATCAACTGCAAGATTTCGACATAAGAACTAGTTTCCATTACCGGTGTGTCCTGAAAAGGTACATGGATGTATAGAATACACAACATCTTAAGATACGTAATTCATTGTCACATGTTAGGAGAGCACAAAAAGACGAATAGTACTACGAGCACCCACAGTATAATTTAGTAAGATCTCGGTTATTTTGTACAGATTCCAAAGCTTAAGGTTAGTCGTTCAACATTTTATGTGACAGTCACTATTATTCCCCCTTTGGTCGTATTCAACATCCTTTTCAATAAACGATCATCTTTTATCATCTTTTCCATAGAGTGCATCATAATATAGGCGAGTGACATTTTTCAAAAAGACGCTTAGTTAACGACTTTAATGCACCCACCTAACATACGGCTATATTGTATATCATTTGGAAGCTTATTACCTGTACTTTCTATTTTGCCCGGTCGTCAATAATTCGTATGGTGCAATTTTCGTTAAATCAAGGTTAAAGGTCAAATATGAATATTACAAAATTTTGCTAGAATTAAACAAAATGCTCTTTTCTGGTACCTGTATGCTATTTTTCATCTAAACATTGTCTGAATCTTATAAAACAAAATGCCATAATTCTAAATCAAATGCAAACTAAAATGTAAATTGCGCAATATTTACATAAAATTGCATTTCTTAAAAAAACTTCCAAAAATGATAAAATTGCACTTAAAGCTAAATAATTCTTCAGGAATCAATATCTATATGTCAAAAATATAACTAATTTATCGTTTATAGGCCGAGAGAATTTTTTGCATCATTGTAAACTTAATTAATATGATATAGGTCTAGATGTAGCCTTCTAATGAAACTTTTGCAGTTGCCCCATAAAAACACCATCTTCAAATATGAATCATTTGGCTTTTCTTTGGCTAGATAATATAGTAAATATCGGAAGAAAATGATTAACCATATTTGAATAGGTGTAATGAAAGTGCTTTAATGAATAAACAAGGTATATATAGTAAAAATGTGTTTCCGATGTCGAAAGACGAAGTTTATTCTCGATCAATATTCGAACGAATACTGTTTGCACAATGCGCCTTTTCAATCACAAATCCGGCTGATTCTTTTAAATGTTAGCTCATTATTACATATATTATTAGTTGTTTTACAGAAAATTAATATTGTGGAAGATTGAATATATTCTTACTGAGCAAATGCATTTACCACAGGTGTAATGTAGTGTTCGCACATTTCGGTATAGTGTTTTAAAGAGTGAAGTTTGTTTGTCCGACTTTTTTGCTTTTTTCATGTGTTATCTGTTTTTTCAAATTGAAAACCAGCTAGATCAGATATCGATGTAAGATATAAACCTTGCGTCCCTACGTCGGTTTGTCTTTAAAGTGCACATATGGAAATTGTACATGAAGGGATTTTTTTCATGATAAAAAAATAGTTAAATAATAAGCAAATCAAATGTACCATTACATCTCATAATCTTACCTTAACACAATCTAATTACTATATGGATCTCTGATTTTGTTATCCTGATTTAATAACATGCGAGTTGCAACAGATCTGAATTTTAAACAGATTGTTTTAACCCATGTTATTTACACTTATGCATACCATTTGGTATGTTTTGTTTCACGCCAACTAATATCACTTAATATTGATATGAAACCTATGCACGAAAAGTTATGACTATAGTTTTAGACTGCCTCATTCTTATATACTGTTGCCTTTGTTCATTCTTATATATGCCAATGTATAAGCAATGCATGACAGATGATCTACTAAAACGTAAAATGACAAAAATACCGTACTTCAAGGGAAATTCAGAACTGAAAGTCCTTTATAAAATGGCAATATTATAAGCTCAAACAAATATAACGGAAAAGGAAAGCAACTGCCATATTCCTTACTTGATACTACATTTTCTTGCGTATAAAATGGTACATTAAACCTGGCTTTATAACAAGGAAAACCTATCACTTGTATGAAACGGCGCGCTTGTTTTCTGATGTCTTAAATGAGAATATTCTGTGATACAGTTACAATTAGATTTAAATGCAAAACCATAGGCAATTGAATTTAGAATAAAATTGGTTTAAATGCATATTTATATATCAGTTTTTATGAAGAAAATTTACTTGCAACATGTAGCTGTAGTAATTTTCAACATCTACATCAAAACTGCTTTATTTGATTAGAGGTTGCCTACTTTAACAAAAGGCCATTGATGATGATTGGTTGAATTTTTGTATGACACCTACACAGTAATTTCGTCATTCATACTAATAAATATAATTAAAGTATAACTGACGGGGATTGTCAGCTTTCTGCTGAAGGTCTCTCAGAGCACTCCGGCTTCCGCCTCGAATAATAACTGATCGCCACAAAATACTGTGTAATTATGATGAAGATACATGATGTCTGGAGTTGGCATTTCAGTAATACTGCTGTAGTCCTTTGTTAATTTGTGTATCACCGTCATTTTGCTAATTTCATCAGTTACATTTTGTACCTATTCTGACATCGGACTCGGACTTCTTTTTAACTGAGTTTTACTGTGCGTATTGATGTGTGTTTGTTTAGTCTTCATTTGCAAGAGGTAAAGATGATGGTTGAGATCTCACAAAACATGTTTAACCCCTTCGCATTTTTGCGCCTGTCCTAAGTCAGGAGCCTCTGGCCTTTGTTAATCTTAATATTTAATTTTAGTTCATTTATATGTTTCGGAGATTAGTGTGGCGTCCGTTTTCACTAAACTAAAACACATTTTTGTTCAGGGGCCAGCTGAAGCCTGATTCCGGGTACATGATTTTTTCGAGGTGTTGGAGACCCATCGGTGACCTTGGTCTGTTTTCTGCTTTTTTGTCGGGTTGTTGTCTCGTTAACACATTCCCCATTTCCATTCTCAATTTGATTTAATAGCCAGTAGTGCCGAAAGTGAAGTTAAATAATCAATCATTCATCTTTACACTACAGTGTAATATTTTAACTACTAGTACTCAGGAAGTGAAATTGTACTAATAGTGAACTGCTAGAATTTTCAAATAAAAAAATAGATTTGCAGTATGTGTCAATGTATATGTATTTCAAGAAATTAATTAGCTTTAAAAGATTGATACATACAAATTTTGTTCACATAGAACAGCAATAAAGCTATCTTTTTGCAGATGATGGTGTTTTGGGCAATTGCACGAGTTGTTATAATTGGCTGTTTAATTATCATGAAAGGTAATTGTAGTAATTTGATGTTGTCAAAAACTTCCTGAGCACTAAATAGAATATGTTATTTGGTTCTATGGTGAATTACAAATGAAAAAAGGCGCTATTTATCAAAAATCCGTCACTAATCTTTTAAAGTGCGTTTGATAAGTGACTGTTAACATCTGTTCTAACAGATTTTCATATTTCCATACAAAATATTATTGTTCAGAAGACAGAGTATGCAAAAATGCTGACATCTTGTAAAATTAGAAAGTATGCGACCTTGACCTTTCATCGTGATTTCACGGAAATTGCACCGTACGAATATTTGACGACCGGGCAAAAAAGATAGGGCAGATGATATGCTTTCGAATGGTATATCATTTAGCCGTATGTTAGGGTGGTGCATTAAAAATATGATTTTATGGTTAAGGTCACTCGTCTAATACTGCCTTTTAGTGCTACAAGGTTGAAGGACATAAAAAACAATCAATGTGCATTGATCTGGACGCTAAATTCAAAAAGCAGAAAGTCCATAAAAACGGACAAAATCAAACGTTAGACTTTATCAAACAAAAGGACTAATGGAAAAACAACTGTCATATTCCTGGTACAGGTACAGGTATTTTCCTACGAAAACGGTTGGTAAAACCTGGTTTTATAGCAAGCTAAACTTCCCATTTGGATGACTTTTGATGATAGTTCCGTTGTATAAATTTTTCAGAACTTTACAATTTTATTTATTTGAGCGATCAAAATAACCACACTACATTATTCATCTCCTTTCTTGTTTCCCTTGGTTGAAGCTTGAATTTATAGCCACATTTCTTTTCTTTTTTACCTTTTTGATGTTTTAAAGCGTACCTTGAAGGATGTTTCTACAAGGGTACATGTATTACCACTTCTCACCACAGTAAAAAAAAAAACAGCATAAAGAAGTACCTTTATGAAGAACGACTTCTTCAATGGACATTTATTTTTCATGTTGAATTTGTATGATATAAGTTTTACTACCTTTAGCTTGAAAAACATCCACACTAAACGCTTGCCTTGTCTCACCAAAGTCGTTTTGAATGCTCATGACATATGTTCCTGCTTTCCCAGAATTTATTGACAAATTTGCAATATATCCTTCACAGTAGATAGTCTTATTATAAATTTGTAATGCAATTGTTCTGTTGAGTACCGTGTGTATAATCCCAGCAGAATTGACAACTGATTTATCCACTGACCATATTGCAGTAGTTTCTTCAGAAGAACAGAACTTGACTGTTAGAATTATACTCTTTGTTTGTCGTAATTTGTTGGCTGAAACGATTACAGGTGGGCCTTCAAAACAAAGAAAAACAAGATTAGCAACACAATACCCGTTGATGAAAACGTTCCAAGACAGATCGATTTATTTGTATATGTACAGTATCATACTTTCGTGTTAACAATAGCAGTGTGCATGGGTATTTTGAAAATATATAACTATTTCATGATATCTTAATTTAAGTTATCAAAGTGAACAGTGAAATCGCAAAGTCTCTGGTAAAATTCCACCGTGCTCAAAGTTATTATTCCTTCGAAGTAGTTAACTCCAAATACATACTTAATTGATTTGATAAGTTACCCATACCCTAAGTTTCTTTAGAGAGCAGCCCAAGAGTCTGGTCTATTAAAATGATTGACTGATCTATGACGCTTTGTAGACAGTGACAAAGCTTAACAACATGTTTTTTTTTAAACTTGTCTTCTTTCAGTATCTAATGATAAAAGTGTATTCAGGACGAGAACAAGTTAATGCGATATGAATATAAAGACTGATGTTTACAAGACCGACGCACTGAGCTGGATTTTAACGTGCAAGTTCACGAGGTAACAGTCCACAATAAGGCATGTCATCCTACCCGACACATTACTGTAAACCAACTTATTTTCGCGGATACTTTATTTCGATTTTATCCCTTTCTAGCCCATTTCGCGCCAATTGAATTTCGCGATTCTCAAATTTTCTTGATGTAGATAAAAAAGGAAATTTCAAAGTTTAACATATACGCGACGATTTATATTCGCGTTATTTTACAACTAGCGAAAGTCACGAAAATATAAATCGTTCGCGAAAATAAGTTGGTTTACAGTATTCTGAATCCGAGCCGACCATTCTCTGCTCTCACTCCTTAATGCCGCGGAGAAGAAGCAAATACATATTTTAAAGTCTTTGGTTTGTCCCAGCCGGGGTTCAAACCCACGACCTCCGGAACTACAGGCGAACACGCTACCACGAGACAATATGTTGTATCAAAGGGAACTTAGTATAGTTAAGTTTATGTGTTGAGGACACCAAAATCACACATTCTGTCTTATGCTGGTATTTCCTTACATACACATCCTCACAATCAGTTACATACACTGCATTTCTTATTCATACTTAAAACATTTTTTTCAATATTCATTTCCCGTGTTCAAAATAACAATTTTCCAATATTTGATGCATACTTAATGCTACTAATAAAACATAATATAAAATAATTATGTTTTACTTACTATTAACATATAAACTGATAGTTGTGTTGGTGTAATAGGTCTTTCCTTCAAATTTAGTCCATGCAACACATTCGTAGTCTCCTGCGTCTTGATAACTACAATTGGTTAACATAAGAATGGACTGATCATCCTTCACTCTGCCTCTCAAAACACGTAGAGCTGTACCATGGACAGAATGTTTCCACATACCAAATCCATACACAGGCAGTTCAGTTGACAGTGTGCATGACACATCTATTCGTGATGTATTGTTACAATAAATAGCCTCACTCGAATATACAATATGATTTTCTGAAGGGAGAATTGAACAAAGCGGTTACAATGATAAAAAATCTTTTCTCTAAAGATTTGTATAGATCGGATAACATTTACGAAGGAACGACATTCAAAAATATCATTCACACTCATGTTTGATGTCTGATGGTTATGCACATAATATTTGTTTTATCATTCCAATGTTTGTTTACAAAATATTCACCGACATTCAACCTTTCGTCATTCTGTTGTCGCATTTAAAAGGATTATCAATCATTACAGGTTTGCTTTCTTAAAAAAATATTTACAACACCTTAATCTTTTTCCAATGATTTAGTGATGCTATGAATGAGAATAAGTATTTCAAAATTGTCCTATCAATGTCCTGGTCCTTCGGTGACCATGATTTCAAACAGAGAGAAAGTAATGAACAAGAAAAACACTAATGTCACTTATACATTTAAAAAGGATGTCAGCTATGATGCTAGTGACTACTTTTGCAGGAATTGAATTTTCTTATGAATACACAAGACATAATGTGAGAGGATGTAAATGTACATAAGGCAACATTACCATGAATTACTCAGCATGCACGCGTGAAGTGATGTTCCGTGAATCCGATCATTTCATATAAACATGTTTTATCATTTTCTCTAATGTGATGAAACTATTACCCATCTAGACGTCAAAGTTTTGAAGGTAGTCGTAATTATTATGTACATTTTCATGAGTTATTGTTGATAATCTTTGTGATTTTTGCTCAAATTGAGGATGCATTTCATCAGAGAAAAAAAAGAAATATATAACATTCTATCGCCTAAACAACTCTTATTTCATATTACTTCGTTGCATGATTACATTATCAGCAAGTAAAGTACTTTTGGGGTATTGTAGAGTTAACTGATTTCACAATCCTGATATTTACTGTATGTTTTTCTATACACCTTTTTTTTAAGTTCCATTAGGTTTTTGTATTATGGAATTTGATAGTCTCGGATGCATAGATTTGCATTCAATTAGACTATTAAAGCTTGATATATTGAAGACACCTGTCATTTGACATTTATCAATTTCAAGTGGATATTTCTCTGAAACTTCAGAAACATCATGTTGGAGTTAAGTAATTTCAGGAAATGAAAAAATATCAAGTAGGAACTGAAATATGTCAATTTGAAAATCAGAAAGTACGAAATATCAATTTAGAAATAAGAATATCAACTTGGATTTGAGAAATGTTATCTTGAAAGTGATAAAAGTTAAGTTTGAAATGAAAAGTTTTAACTTCCCGTCTTTCGCCCTGTTGGTTTTGTCTTTACTTGGTTCGACTGCATCCGTCTTTTCGTATAGTTATTTCTTATTTTTACATTTGTTGATGAAATAAAAACTCATCATGGATTCCCGGTTTAAAATTTGATACGTCAGAAACACTTTATTATAATAATATATAAATATGGTTAATATATTGGTATTGCCATTGGCTAAGATGACCGCCATCAACTTTTCCAACACTTTATGAAGCATTATAGCATTGTCGAGTCTCAAATTTTCTGCAAAGTGTAATTTGAGTATCAGATATCTATTTGGGTTTTTTGGTTTTGTTTTTTTTGTTTTTTTTTTTTTTTGCTTTTCGTTCATGATTTATGATTTATGAGTTTAACTATATACTGTACAATTAGATAAAAAAAAAAAGACGTGCTGAACGCTGCAAAACTATGTCAGTAGAAATACTGCATTGATAAGAACTGATCTTAAAAATTTTGTATTTGTATGCAGTATCTAATGGACTCGCATTCGTTTTCACCTTTTAATCAAATATAAAGTATTATGAATCACAAAAGGAGTTCAAAAAATAAGAAATATTTACTGTACAGTAGTTATGAATTTTATCATTTACTTACTACTTATATATATTTGAATTGCATCTGTCGCAACATATCCATTTACATTAACAGTGCAGGTACAATTTGTATTGTCATGTTGAAGATCAATCGTTCGAATTATGATTGAAGAATATTGCCGGTTTTTCTCTATTCCACTAAATGTTGTTTCCTTGTTGGCACATTCCCATACGAAGGTAATGTTTTTATTTGATCCTTCAAAATCGCAGATAAACTGCACTACTGTACCACTATGAACAGGAAATTCTACAACAGTTCTAATTTTTGGGCCAGAAAAATCTGATTCCCAAAAATTAGATAAATAAAAAAAAAATACAAGTTTAACTAGAGAATAGTGTTTATAAAAGTAAATGGTCCCTCCATTTATTTGCGTATGTCATTGTTTCACTTTACATATTAAAAAGAAAATATTCATAATTGTAATGATAATTAATTAAGAAATAATTTGATAAAAGATATATGGTGATCTCTGTTCTATATATTTTATATATCCCATGGCGACTTAGGGTTTGGCATGTGAGATTGTTACATGTATTAGTCCCTTGATGAAGACCGTGATTCGATCTCTAAATTTGTATTGTTGTTTAGTTGTATTAGTGTATACGCCGCATAACTATCAATGCAAACTTCATAAGAATAATGAATGTAATTGTTATACATTTATTATAGTATAATGTTGCTATTTAGTGGTAAAGTAAATCTAAAAAATAAATGTTTACCAATTATCTTTACTTGAATACTATCCGACAGTATTCCTGTTGATTTAAATACCATTGAACACGTAACTTCAAGTTGGCCCTCTGAATGATCTGCCTGATAAATATGGCTATACCATAGTCCTCTTGTTGAACATTGACAAAATTCGGGTGCACATTGACCTCCTATGGCTGACGAAAAACATTTTTCTTGTAATAATCTAATGGTGAAAGACTCATGGTTTGCATTTATTTCTATTGAATTTCCAATAGGCATAGACTCTGTAGTACAGTTGAGGTGTATGAAATCGAACCTTTTCACAACTTTTTCACCATATAATTTTATACCAATTTGAAATGTTACTCCTGGATTCCATATAGATAAAAAGAAGATAATCTGTATATCATTAAATTATATTAGTTTATTTGTAATTTCATTAGTTGAATAAGAAGAATGAGAATTTGATTAATTTCTCCTAGACTCATTATTTGTATATACATATGATTAATTTTTCCGCGTTTTGCTTTGTTACGCGGAAATTTTTCCAATAGTCCTTATTTCATGACGATAACATCTAACTTTTTGCTTGTCAAATCATTTTTGTCCTGTAGTCTAGAGAAACATCTATAGGTAAATACGGTCTGAGAAACCCTGTTATGTTTTCTTTTCATCATTTAGGTGTTATTAGACTAATGTGACATATAACAATTTATTCAAGGAATTTTCAGTTTTAGAAAAAATGAACTTTACAGTTCAGTTTTATCCGTTTAATTCAAGGTACTAAAAAACTCAACCAAGATGAAGAGGACAAATAGAAATACAAAAACAACCAAATCAATTTGTTTTTGTTTTCAAATTCTCAAATTTTTGATGACTTACATTTATGAAGACCTTACATGATAATTTACTTTTAATGTGATAATTTGTGCTAATGACAAATAAACGACTGAGAAACGGTCGTTAAAATTATTGACAAGATTGAAACAAATACATTGAAAAAGATAATTATAAAGCTATCCATCTGCTGTTCATTTCACCTTTTTTGCCATACAAAAGATAAGATTCGCATGTCTCGCAATACTGAAGCAAAACCTTTCAGAAATTTTTGATTCATTTTTAAATTGTAACATACAAGGTATCTTCGTTCAGATTTTTTTTTGTACTGAAACTTACATATCATTATGTTAAGATGGCGAAAACTTAATAATGATATCCTCACGATTATTGCAAAAGGATATTGGTACCAAATTTACCACAAATTATCGTTTACTTAATAGCAATTCTCTGTAACCACCAACCAAGTTGCGGCACGCATAGTCTCAGATTTTCTTGAAATTTTGTTTGTTGGTAGCTATCGATAAACAAACAAGAAGTATGTTGACAAAAAAATTTGTTTATGTCCCCGTTGCCATGGTAACGGGTCCCCTTGGATTTTACCTCAGAAATGCATATTTTAACTAACACAAATGACCCATTTTAAGCAGTTATCATGCACACATTTCAATTTTGATGAATGTTTTGACTTTTGTTCATTAATATATAACACTTAATGAGTAAGATAAAAGATAAAAATTAATTCTGATAAAAAGGGAAGAAGGGGGCATCACTGATTTAAATAATGGAGTTTTCAATGTATTCAAGAAGGCAAGTTATATGAATTTTGAATGACATAATTTCACACTTTTGCATCCATAACCAATTATACTGAGGTAATAATTGCATACTATCACTGTTGCCTAGGAATAATTTATAACTAAAACTTTGGGAAAATGGTTGCTAGGGTGGTTGCTATGGGAACGTAAAAATGTCGTTTTTTGTTATTTTGTAAAAGAATTTTGACATTCTTATTAGAATTGCTCAAAAACAGTGACAGATGAAGTATGAAAATCACTTGAGACATTCCAAGATCTTAAGGTTGATCCAAAGGTCAAAGGTTAATGATGACCTTGACCTTTGACCTTCAGTCTTTTTTTTTATTAAATTTATTAATTTTTGTTAAGAAATTGTAACAAATTAACCCATACAGTATATATGTAAGCCTCAAGTCTATGTCCGGCCTCAAATCTATGTCCTTTCCGCAAATCTATGTCCTTTATAGTATTGCGTCATAAACGTCCCAAATATATGTCCTTTATTGTCTCAAATCTATGTCCTCTTTCGAAATCTGTTGACGCAAGACAAAGCAAGACGTCATCGTGTATATGAAGTCACTGCATGAAGTAACAGCGATACAAGGAATGAAGGAGTATTTTCAAAAGCAACAACTAAAGATTTATCCTCTTGAAATGTGTTCTAACAATTATCAGGACATCTTCACTCTAACTATTGGGGAAAATTTACAATTCAGGACGAATCTAGCCATAAACAAAGGGATTGCGGTATCTAGTACGTCTGGTTTTTGGAGAGAAGGAATATGCCAACACATAAAGAATTACACTTCTCGGGGGAAAATGTTTGCTATTAAGACGTTATTGCAAATTGTACATTTAAACTAAATAAATATCAGTTCAGACCAAAAAGTTAGTTTATGTCCCACTATTGTTTACAGATTCTCCTTATAAAAGAATAAATAATATTTTATTTTAATTTATATGGTTTAGAATCAGATTTTTGTATTTAATGTACAAAATAAATAAAATATAAGAATGGGAATGATGCATTTACAACTGTATGGGCAGGGACAAAATGACGTATGAAGATGTAGCAATAAACAAAAGATACATAATGTGTAGTATAAACTTTCTAATTTACAAAGTAATTAATAAAAAAGTTGCTCAAATTATTGTTGTCGAACTTAATAAATCTGACCGTTTGCATAAAATAACAAAGAAAACAAACATGTAATAACATTTTTATGTGGTATCTATACATTGCAACATTAAACAAAACGTATGTAAAGAACCTGTTGTTAAAGGAGACGTCTATATATTTGCTAGAACAAACATGGGATCAAGGAAAGCAAAAGATTTGAAGACATCGTATCTTTACATTATCCTACTATAGAGAATAGGTTAAATTCATTGTTTAAGGCCATATATTTACCTTTTATAGTTGTTTATACACATGTCATTTTGTCTTAGATTG